CTTCATTAATGGGCCAGATATTACGGTAACAAATTTTTAAGTTTTCATTTTTGTTCAAACACATAATGAAATTGACATTCATCAATATGAGCTTCAATTTTTTGCCACCATGAACCATTTTAGTACTATGTGTAGCAAACTTTTCTTTTAATTTTTTATAAATCACTCTTTGGGTTTCAAGCACATTATTTCCCTTGCTTGGATGACAACTGTTTGTGGAGGTAAAGGACGAGGCAAGAGCAGAGAAGCTGAAATAGTGCGTGGAGTGCAAGTTCTAACAAGATGAGAAGGGACAAGACCCAGTCAGAGTTCACAGGAAGGGAAGAGCCTGTGCACCTGGGTTTTCAGGTAGCTTGATGGAAAGGAGTCTGGGGAACAGGAGAGGGCCAGGTGAGGGGTGGCGGCAGACTTACGCAGGCAGCAACAGCTATGGGGGCAGTTGTTTCTTTCTGTGCTTTTTTTTTCTTTTTTAAGAAACTCTAGTGGACTAACCAGGGGCTGCAAGTAGAGCTGGGTGGAAACACTAGAAAGGGAAAGAGAGGCAGGGAGAAGGCTCCCGGCACAGAACCCCAGTGCCAGGTGTGACCCCCCCCCCGGTCCCCACGCATGCTGCTCGTGTGCTCTGGGCCGTCACATGTGGGCCTCAGACAGACATCCTGAAGTTTCTTACACGCTAACAGGTAATCCAACTTGGGTCTGAGGTTTTTCAAATTCTTGGACCAATATCTTCTTGAGTAAAAGGAGCTTGGTGAGCTATGTCTTAAATCCTGCAAGTCAGGACAACATTTTGTCTTTTTTTCCAAAAAGGGTCTAGTTTACATATGGATTATGCTTTACATCTGTTTAAAGGTGAAAAGAGGATGGCTTGTTCCCTACTGTCAACAGAGCAGGATTTTTCCAAAGGCTAATACATTTTTTTCCACTGAAAAATACATTTGCAGCTCTAGCAAACAAATAGATTGCGATCAATTTGTTTCAAACAAGAGAATTTTTCCTTTAGATGACTTATGTAAACAGTCAGTATATAAGTGCTTATGTATATGGTACTTTTAAACCAGCCTGTTTTACAAATGTCAGCTGATCCGTAGTGAGCTTTTCTCTGTGCTGGTGTGCCTTGCACTCTGGAAAACATTTTGCATGTTTAAATAGCCAACTTTTTCTGTCTCCTTCTTTTCCATGTGGCCTTTCCAAGTGGGATTCATCTGCCATGTAGAGTCTAGGATTTGCAACACATCTCGCTTCAGGAAGCAAGTTAAAGATAAGACAACCTAATACTGCTTTTATGTGACATGTTATTCAGTAATAATTCACTAAATATTTATTGGACACTTACCAATGTCATGAATTGTTCTAAACACTTGAACTACATCACTAAACAAAACACATCACCTGGTGGAGATTACATTTTACAGAATGAAACTTAAAGTTAATATAGTAAACACAAATATTTTAAATGGATAGTACAATGTGTCAGGTGGCATTGATTACTGTAGAACAAAAGAGTGGATGTGTAGAAGTCATGTGAAGGTGACTGGGAATGTAGGGGACTGGAGTAGAGGGCAGCCTGCAATTTTAAGTAATGCAGTCAAGACAGCCTTCATGGATAGGGTGATATTTAAGCTGAGGATTGGAGGTGAGGGAATTAGCCCTTCAGCATCTGGACGACGCGAGTCCCTGGCAGAGGAAATGGATAGTGGAGAGGCCTGGCATGTCTGAACCCAAGGCTGGTGTGTGCATAGTGGAGCAAGACGGAAGGACAGAGAAGAAGAACAGAGGCCGATGGTGTGCTGCTTGTGACCACTATACAATGTTGCTTATAGCAAAACAAGGAGCCATGGGGAGTTGGAAGGAGATGAGTGGCATGATCAATCGGATGATGTCTTAAAGGAATCCCTCTGATCACACTGAAAATAGGCTGTACACATTCGAAGTAGAGCCAGGAAGACCAGATTGATGTCTAATGAAATAAGAAATGGAGAGATGATGGGTGACAAATGGCCAGATTTTGGATGCCATCGGAAGGCAGAGCCAGCAGGATTGACTGGTGGGCTGGATGCAGGAGTGGGAGAAAGGCAATTCCAAAGCTGACTCACAGGTTTGGCCTGAGCGTGGGAAGGATATGGTCATCACCTGAGTTGGAGGGAGCTGCCAGAGAAGTGGGTTTTGGGAAACAGGTATGGAATGGTGGTCATGTTGAGGCTCAGATGTCTCTGGCACAGCCAAGTGAGAATACTGTGTATCTGGAGTAGGGAATGAACTCTGAACTGGAGATAGAAATCTGGGAGTAGTCAGCAGATGAATGGTATTTAAAGCCAAGAGACTATCCGAGTCATAAGTGTTTTTCTTAGTAATTTCCATTTTCTGTGTTTAGAAATGATTTGACAAATACGTACACATACCTAGCAGACTACATAATAGGTATTCACATCCCTACTAGGAATAGAACCAACCAAAGGGAGAAACTTGTCCAATTTGACATAGCAAATTAATACTCATACTGAGAGTAAAATTAGCCCTTTACTTCTGGGCTTCTTATTTACTTGCTGCTTTAGCACCCAAGAATCTGTATAAAGGAAAGAATGACCTGATATGGGCATCTTGATATGGGAAGGAGTTAAGGTCGGGACCTGTGTATCCTCTGGGGCAGGTGAGGCAGTGGGTGGCAAGTGAGAGAGGCAGCCTGCATGGATATCTCAGGATCACAGGACTCTGCCTCTCAGGACAGAGTCACAGGCTGCCCAGCAGCATCCTAAATGCACATTCCTAAGGATACACCACTAGGTGGTACCAGCTCTGAGCATGCTGAATTTATCACTTGCTGAGGTGGACATTGCAGGGGTTTTGTTTGGCCAAGGAAGCATATCCTCCTGATACCAGAGCTGGATTTCTAAGGGCAGTAGAAGACAGGCTGCCACCCGTGATTCTTCTCATTCTCAGCTTTTCTCCAATAATATTTACCTTCTGTTTTAAATAAACACTGAGCAGATATTTAAAGACTACCTTTGAGAAGGGAGGGGAAATTAGTAACAAGCTGAGGGTGCTCCCTTGGCTTGGGCTCACAGAAGTCACAGCTAAACTTCATGGGGATCACGGTCAGATAGAGCAGTGTGGCTGCTTCTGGTCTGGACAGAGTGCAGCACAGGGAGGGAGTGGTAAAACCAGGGCCCCGTGAGTCCACAGGGGCAGGGGTGTTTGGCGTGGTTTGCTGCAAAGAGCCAGCTGAGACCCCGTGTGAGAGTGTGGTGGTGGTCAGTGAGGTCACTGGAAAAGGGAGTAATGTAATTCTGAGCCCCAGTAGTGAGGGAAGCACAGAAGCCCGCCAAGCCCTTTCTAATCATGGTCAAGGAGAACTGAGTGACTCAAAGGAGGGAAGCAGCAGTGAATCTGGTGTAAGCAAACCGGGTAGAGGGACTTGATGACCAGGCTACTGTTCTGTAGGCGGAGATATTTAGATAGATGAAGTGAGTGCCTAAGGACACCTGGCCATCGTCAGGATTTCGTCTGTCATGCTCAGGGATCATCTCCCAGCAGCCTTTGCCCCACTTTCTCTCTAAGGGTAATGATGTCCACTCCTGAGGCTTTTGCTTTCCTTTCCTTAAACGCTCTTCGTGTACTCGAATGAACCAGGGGAAGAGCTTTGGAACAAATACTGGGCCATGGCCACTTTGCCACTCTTAGATTTGAGCAAAGCAAAGGAAAATAGAGGAGAAAATAAAGAAGATAACTCAAGTAAAGAGCACTAACAAGGTTTAGATAGTATCACATCTTTTCTGGGCAGGATTTGTAATTGTTCTCTGCTATAAATTCTTCCTTTGTACTTCCTTTATAGATTTGCTTTGATGCCTCAGTGAAATAACACATGAAAACTGCCGAGCTCACAGCCTAGCTGGATGTTTTACATGCACTCTCCATGCTAGTTCTCAAAAAATATCTGCTACTGTTTCTTATTAGAAGGAGGAAACGTGATGTACTGCAACATCCAGTACCACTTAGGGGATAGCACAATGTCGGGCTATGCTGTTGGTGCCTGTGTCTTGTTTTTATGCTTTATGACACGGACGTTTCAGACCAGTCATCTCTACACACTGGATGAACGGAGTTCATTTCAAATGTTCTCATCAAAGTTAATATGACTCTGGCCGTTCTCCTTATTGTGACCAGGTGTGATGACAGCCTTGTTCTGTGCACCTACCAAAGTAATGTCATTACCTCCCCCCGCTGCTTCCCGTAAATGGCATCGTCTTGATCACATAAAAGCTATGCAGGAGAAAATGCTATCGTGTCAAGCTGGAAATTATGATCTGTCTTTAGGGCAGTGAGCAAGTCAAAAACTTTAAGCAGCCAAATGCCAGTAGCAAACAGAGATTTAATTTGACTCTTTTCTTCCCAGGAATATTTCGATTTCTTGGTTATGAAACCATTTGGACTGCTCTTGTAGACTTTGTTCTAAAATGTAAAGCACGCAGCGGTCTTCCTTTCTTCTCACAAGAGGAGATGGCTGACTGTCTTCATGCAAATTAGTCAGCTTTTGTTGAAAAACTTCAGGGAACTCATCTATTGAAATGCAGCGTGTCTTACTCTCTTCTTTCAGCCCATGTAAGATTATTTCCCACAGTATGAAATACTTTATTTTTTTAAAAAAGTGTCTCCTTATAATGCTAAAACTCCAGCAAAGCCTTGGACTTGGTGGTAGTGGAGGTGTGGGAGCTGTCTCTTCAGTCCTGCATTATTTTCAGCATTTTTTCATGGCCACTAAATGTGTAAATGAATGCAAAAAGGTAGAACTGCTGTACTAAATTTAGGACCAGCAATTATATGCATTGAAGTTCTGAGCTTTTTGCTCCTTGAAATTTCTGTATCTGTTTTTGTATAAATTGGGGACAGTATAAAATAATTTGTTAATAATGAACAAAGATTGTTTTGATGGTGTGTAACATCTCAGAAATCTATCTCATCGTTCTGTTAATGGAGGTTTCTTTTCTCCTCTTGCTGTATTTCAGTGACAATTTCAACAAGCACCTTCTTTGACGGCTTGCTGGTGACAGGACTGTACACCTCTACCAGTGTTCAGGCTTCACAGAGCATCGGCGGTTCCGGTGCTTTTGGATTTGGTAAGTTGTCCTGACCAGAGAAACCAGGGACTGTGTAGTTTCCACAGTTACAGGTCTTCTCTCCTTTTATTTTGGAAATACTCTTTAAAAGGTATTAGGCATTCATTGTTTAAGAGAAGTGATTTTGTGAGTGTGTGTGTGTGTGTGTGTGTTCGCTTGAAGTTGTGGGAATTGAAGTAAGTCTTGCAAATGTGCAGCCCCATGAGTTTGGTGTTCACCTTTCCATCCCTCTCTCCATCTGCTGACTGTTGCACTTGGTCCTGTGGAGTTTGTGTGAATCTCTGAGTCCTGTCACTTGCATTGCTGGAATTCGCTCTGATGCCATGCAGTCCTTCAGTGACCTGTTCTCATAGGTGCTTATTAAAGTCTGGTGGAAATTGGAAAGTATCATGTTAAGTTTGGCAAGTAAGCGTTGCATGAAGTAGAATCAATAATATTTGTTAGAATAGCTGAATTCTTCACTTAGAAAAATATTTAAGGGTCGGGGATTTAGCTCAGTGGTTCCATCACCTGCTTAGCAAGCATAATGAGCTGAGTTTGATCCCCCCCAAAAGAAAAATATTTAAAATACTTATATGGAATCTTTTTCCTTAGATCAGAGACTGTCAGATTACTTCTGTAGTGAGGCAGAAGGCTATGTGATGACCACCTAATCCCAGGGGATTCTTGGTTCAGAATTCTCTCCTTTACCCATAGTGCTGTAAAGAAGCCAAGCTGGGATTAAGTAGACCCTTCACAGCATCACAGACACAAATTTAATATATCACTTTATGTAAGATTGAAACCACTGACCTTACTCTAAGATTGAACAATTGCACAGGACTTCCTCCATTGAGGCATTATACCAGGAAGCTGTGTGTTCCATGTTTAAGGTTTTCTTCTGTGGCATTTATTGAATAAATACTTTTTACTTACTTTTGATACATGGAAGAGCACCTGCTCTGTGTCAAGTCCCTACAGTGGCTCCACCCAGGTGACTCCCTATCTGATTTCAGAGTGATAATGTCCGTGCTGTGTGACCGTCGTGCTGGCCCAGGACGAGGCCCACAGCCTCAGAAACTGGAAGTCATTTCATCATTGTGTTCGGTTATTTGATATTGAGAGTTTGTTCTGTTTTTTAAAGATCCCAGCTAAGATTTTATAATCTGTGACTGCTACATTGTTAAACCTGGAGAAGGGGATCCCTGTTAGGTCTAAACAGGGTGCTTCGCCTACCATTTTTGTGCTCTGTGAAGATGCAGGATCAGGTTATAATCCTATCTGTAATGTAGGCACGGAAATGTGTTTCAAACTACCTCTTTTATTAAAGCAAGACCTGTATGTAGGATTGCCAAATTTAGCTAATAAACATATGAGACACCCAGTTAAGTGTGAATTTAAGGTAAATAATTTTTTCTTTAGTACTAGTAAGAGGTATTTATACTCCTGGGCTCTGCCCAGCCCAGTTACATCAAAATCCCTGGGGAAGGGCTTGGGCATGGGTCTGTTTTCAAACTTCCCAGGTGATTCTCATGTTCCCGGGTGATTCTTACTGGATCCAGTCCACAAGCATCAGGTTTGTCTGGAACCTTGAAACTGCAGAGTTCAGGATCACTCCAGAAAGAGTTAGTCAGAAACTCTGGGGCTGGGTCTCAGTGATCACTTTTCAGTAAACACTCAAGGTGACTTTAGTGCAGGCTGAAGTGTGAGGGCCACTGGTCTAGAGGAAAGACAGATAATGGTTAAGAACGACCATAGAAATGTGTAGTGGCAAACCCTGTTAGAGGTGAGCCAAGAAGCATTCTGAGTGCTGGGAAAGGCCCTGGCAGAAAAACTAGATTTTGAACTGGATTCTGAAGAAGGGGCAGTATTCAGCTAAAGGTTTGTGGATGGTGGGACACGGTGTACCCAAAACAGGAGCTGCGGGTGCAAAGGCCTCCGGGTAGGAAGAGGCTGGCTGTGTTCTAGGGAAATGAACCAGACCTTGGAGAAGCTGGTCCTGGGATCGAGAGGGAAAGTGATAAGGCTGGGTAGGAGATCAGTATAAATTTGGGGTCTTTATTCTAAGGGAAGGAAAGCATTGAGGGTTTTAGGTTGGGGAGCAACTTGACCAGCTTTTCATTTTAAAGAGATCACTCTGGAGTGATGGAGTTTGGATAACAAATGGTAGGGCCTAGGATTTGGTGCAGAGAGACAGTCCTGGAGTTAAAGATGCTGATGTGACAGGGCATGAAAAAGTCAGGCGCCAGCTGGCATGAGTGACAAGGACGAGCTGGATGTGAAAGGCTAGAGGGAGGCTGTGGGGTCATGTGGACCCGCCTGGAGAGCCTGCCCTCCCCGAATCAGGTGTCTGCCTCAGCCACACAGTCTGACATCTGAAAGCTTATTTTCTTCCTTATGAGACGGCCCTCAGAGTGGGACGTGCTTCACGAATGTTGGGTAATTCTGAGAATTAAAGGAGATGATTTACATAGAGCTGGAAGCACATAGAAGATACTTTAAAAAGCTAACTTTTCCGAAATGATAGGTCTTGGTGATTGAAATGGGTGATTTCTTTAGTCTAGGACTTGTATACACTTCCTGTAGGGTGCAAAAATGAAACCATACTGTAATTAGCCTGGGATGTGATTCCAAAGCACTTAGCTGAATTAAGTAACTATTAATTGTCCATTTGAGGGCATTAGTAAAGAAATGATCAGGAAGATCATTTATAAATGCATTGTAAACATATTTTGAAAGAATACATAAGATACATATATCATGTTACCTCCAAGACAAAAAATTGAGTGAGATTTTCACAGTTTAAGAAAGCCAGGCTTTAAGTTATTTTCTGCCGTGGCTTTGAAAGCTATAAAAAAGTTGTTTTTATTTGCATTAGAATATATTCTGCTTACCTCGCTCAAAATTGTATTTAACTTTCCAGTCACTGTGAGCCCCGTATCACAATTTAGATGATTCGAGGAGGGTTCTGAACATGAGTAGAACCCGTGGATGGTAGTTTGACTGTCATTAAACTATCATCATAGAGGTGCATTACTTTAAAAATAAAATTTAATACTGTGCTGAGTTATTGTTAATACTTAAACTTAATAAACTTTTTTTTTTTTTCAGTACTGGAGATTGAACCCGGGGCCTCTAACTGTGAGCTCTTTAGTACTGAACACTTTCATTTTTTGAGATAGGATTGACCTAATTTTTCCAGACTGGCCTCAAACTCATGATCTTCCTGTCTCAGGCTCCCAGGAGCTGGGATTATAGGTGTGCACCACTGCATCCCGGGTAAATAATGTCTTGAATGTGAAGTAGGAGGCACGCTATCTTTTTTAGATAAAAGGGTCACTTTTAGGGAAAAAGATCACAATTTTGAGGTATTTTGTTTAGATTTACTGTATTCCTTACAATTTAAGAACCAAATGCAAAAGATTTCACTTGGTTAAAGTGCAGGTAGAAAAGTAAAGGACACATACTGAAGATAAAATTGAAGAGAATTGCTGCTCTTTGGTACTTCAGCGGTTATGGTCAGATCTTGCTGAAGTAGGAGGTATTCTTTGTTTCTTTGTTTTTTCTTTTTTTCCCCTCATTGAGTTTGTTGGTACATTCTAGGTATACAGTACAGTTACATTCATTATTGGGATCTTGTACCTTTACATAATAGGTCTTGATTCTCACTTTTTTCCCCTTGTCCCTACCCTCCCTTCACCACCTCCTCCCTTCCCCATTTACAAACATTTTATTTCCATTTTTTCATTTAGGAAGCATTCTTTGATACAGAACAAAGGAGTTATTGAATACATGTTCTGTCATTAATCTCTGACTGTTTTGATGAAATGTTAAGCAACAGGGCTTGCTTTGCATTTCCCCAACACATCATAGGGTTAGTGTGGGTTATATTTAACTAGCTGTGACAAATAAGGTAAAGAAAAACTTACAGTTGAGTCTAAATAGGTACTTCTGAAAGTTTTTTCTACTTGGATTTAATTTTACTTGTATTAATTTTACTAATCTTATATACACTCCTTTTTGAATATAAAGTGTGTATGACCAGCCAAAATAAGCCACAATTGTTCTTAAGATACTGTGGTAGCAATGTCATTCCACTAACATAACTACAGTTTGTTATGCAAAACCAGAATTCTTCAAATAAAATGCATGCCTCACTGACCAAAAATAGACAAATGCCTAATAGCCAGAAATACATTAAGACAATAGCTATACAAAACATGACAGTACAGCCAGCAGTGCCTGACTCGAAATACCTCATTTTGCTTGTCAACATAATAAAACATGCTACGCGGGGAGGTGTGATGGTTAATTATGGATAACTCTTTGTGCTTCCCAGGGAAAAAAATGCTTCCCTCATGTCTTTGGTTTTGAATTCCAGCTCAATCATGTAAATCTTCAAGGCTCACTGTAGTCTCGCAATAAAGGGCTATTTGAATATCCTTTCATACAAAATTGTTCCTTTTCCAAGGCTGAAATTAATTTTATGTAACATTTAATATTCTGGCTATAAATGCTGGAGACTTCCCTCGGATTTTGATATTCTAGCTCTGAGCCCGAGATTTCAGGTTTGCAGTTTTAAGGAGTAGCTGCTGCACTTCAGATTGTTAAACCCTGTGTGAATTAAACTTTTGTGCTTTGTACTTCCTAATTTTTCTCAGCTAATTCATCAGCAATTTTATCAGTTTTTCCCTTAAACCTTTGTAATTTCCTTTGTCTTTCACTTCTTTTTTCTGTACTGCTTAGACATACTAGACCCAATCATGTAAAAGTTTGAATTTTATTAACTCCTATGCTGGTCAGTGCCTAATAAAAATATTTACTTCACCAGTAGATTTAGACTGCACATTAATGTTTCTTTGCCAGGATGCAAGTTTTTGTTACTGTGTTATTTTATTGTCACTAAAAATAAAAATACAGGGTCTGTCTAAACTAAATTTGGTTACCCTTTACATTAAGACTAAGTGGAATCTGTTTTAATTTTGCTAATTACAACCAGGACCCCCTACTCCCCTGAGCGTCAGCTATAAGTCAT